GTCCATGAGGTAATTGAGTTTTGCTTAGATGCTCCCAGATGCAAAGCATTCAAATTGCATTGTTGCATGCACCTCACACATCTACTTCGGCCATTTGGGTCAGTAATATCTTCTTTATGATTACATGGGCTTTTATCTTAGCTTAGTAGTTATTCTTGTTGTTTGGCATAAATAGGCCAAGTAGTCTTTTCAAGTTTAGAATATGGAATGTGGGAAAATCTGTAATGAGTGATGGCTTTAGTCCGCTACAATTCAGAACATCTAACGTTGATTACACATATCCTTGTGATAAAAGCAAGTCCAGTGACTATTTGGAAGTCACCATTGACAAGTACTGGCAATTGTCTTCAGCATAAAGAAAGAGAAATCAGAAATGCCATTCTGCAATATAGGTGGTTGACCTGTTCAGGACTGTAATCCAACTAGGGAAATTTCCTTTATTCATTGCTCATAGGCACCATTCCAGTAGGTTTTTAACAGCCCCAGAGTCAAGGATGCCAAACACAGTTAATGGTCTGAACTCACTATCAATATTAACTAGGCGCCAAGTTGGTACGAGGAATAAGGCATCATTGCATTCTACAACGCTGAAAATCATTTTTCATGTTTTTCTAGCATCACTTCCGGTGCAATTGCATGCATAGAACATTGACATAAGTACTTCTACTCTAACCATTTGCTACTTGCATGCTGCATACTGGATCAGTGTTTGTGATGATATAGACAATTAAATCAGTGAGCAAGAGAGAAGATAAGGAGGATGATAGGGAAGAAAATTTGGTATAGTCAGCTATCATCAATGGAAGGCTCCGTCTTTGAGCAGTAGAAGTAAAGATCAATAACTCGATGTGTGATGGGATGGTTGATATGAAGAAATTTAATATTTGAGAAGATTAATTAGAGAATATTTCATCATGTATAGGTATGCACAGGAAGGTGTATATCGCATGCTTAAAAGTTCTCGTAAGCTAAGCATGCATATCGGGACTCATGTACGAATCGCTGCAATATTTAGTCAATAACAAGAGTTAAAAGGTTGATTAAGAAGCAGTTCAACAGAAAGCTGAGAAGGATAGAAAGGATCGATTTGCAGTATTTGTTGCAGGGTTTGAGTGATTTGTATGGAAACGCACTGTCAAGTTCTACCAACTGTTTGGACTTTGTAACTGTTGACGATATAAATAGGTTGTGCATGTTAAGCTTCAATGAGTTAAAATTTTCTATGCAATGTTTTTAAAAAGGTCAAATCAAGGAGAATGCTAGATTTTCTTATCAAGCAAGGTAAGCTCATTGATTTATATAAGGAACCAAAGTAGACATTATAATACTCTGAAGATGTGAATTGTCCCCATGATACACAGAATAATTTGTTTGGTAGATAATAGATTCTATGAACTTGTAACTAGTATTCTTCTGACAGGAAGCATGAGTTACAAAAGGTATCAGAGGCTATACCCCAGCCAAAGATGTATAGGCCTAATTCCTAAGTATTATGCAGTATATGCGCTAGAGGTAGCAGACACATCTCAGAGGCAAGGTTTTGGGAAGCGGCACGAAGTGGCAAGATGTAGCCGACGCTTTCTGTGGCTTAAGAAAGAAAAAGTGCCAACCCAATTAGTCTTTTTTCCCCCCAAATAGGAACGAAAGTTAAAAAAAAAGAAACTATCAAGAAAATTATGAAATTACAAAACAAGCAAGAATTAGAGGGAAAAAAATTCTATAAATTTATAGTGATGTTTATAGATATCCTACACATGAAATAAATGTGAAACAATACTTATTTTCAATGATGCAATATTAAGAAACTATTACACCTGTAATGTGATGAGCTAACACGTACTAGGCTATGTACACCAATAGTCAACAAATTAATGAATTAATGTAAATTATTAAACGAAAACCTTTTGGTGCCGGCTTTTGGGTTTTTGGTTCTTTTTTTGTGCAACGTCTTTTTATGGGGTTTTTGCGAGTGGAAAGGAGCTAGGAGCGCAAAACGCTTAAGTGGCTGCTAAGTGCCGCTTTTTACTGCTTTTTATAACACTGCTCAGAGGAGTGCTCTAAAAAGTCTTCATGTTTGATAAGTGTCCAACAGGGACATAATTTGTTTATTAAGTCAAACTGATGGGTGGCGTTGGAGGGAATGGGGGCACATGACTCGAGGAGAAAACAATATCAGCAGGCGAAAGGTTTCCTAGGTATAAGCATATGGCTTGAGAAAAGCCAATACAATACTTGGATGATGATTGATGACTAGTAGAAGAGGGAATTGAGTTTCTTCCTCTAAGATATCGGACTGCATCTCAATTCGTTTTATGCAGTTAATCCTCTTTTGCGTCTACTAATTATATGTTAGAACCAACATTCACTAAAATGCATACATACGTGCACCCGTGCACTCATGTGCTGCACACAACTATCTCACAGAGTTCCATTGTCAAGGAGCACTGACATCAATTATATATCTGCAAGCTCAGAAAAAGAAGATTCAACCTTCTCTCACTGTTTGATCAACATAATCATCCCATTTTCTACTTGACTACCCCCAAACAGATGGATCCATGTACTCTGGTCTTTATAAATTATGTATGAAGTTTTGGACACATTTTCTCCTCAATTTGTCCGAGACTTGGTAGTTTGTCAACTTATGTATGTTGGCAAGCATTGGTAGGTCAGTAGGAGCTATTTTTTACTCATTGAAAAAAAACTACAAGTCTGGTTATTGTTTAATTAGTTTCTTGTGTGGTTTTCTTGCTTGTGGAGGTTAATATGGCAATACCAAAATTTCTGAATCAGTGTCTTCTAAAAAAAAAAAAGAAAGGGAGGATGGACTATGTGCTTACTTACTCATTATGTATGCATTGATCTAGCAATATATACCTAGTCTGTTAAAATAGCTACCTTACCAAAATAATTCCTAGGTTTCAGCAAGGGGAAAAAATGTTTTCAGCATACATTTTACAGCAAGTTATCTATTATCTCATTTTCATCAAGCATAAGTTACTTTCATCTTAGCAGAAGTTATCCTGGCTCTGCTTCTGATCTTCTTTGCATTTGCATTTTGTTGCATTTTCTATGAAGTAATATGTTATTAGGTAATAGTTCTTAATCAAATGTCAGGTGTCAGTTCTGAATAGCCACATTCACTCCATCAACGACAACGTGACAGTAGACCAGGCGGCAACCGACTACGAGTTTGTCATTCGCCAGCTGGTCAAAGTTCGAACGCTAGATGTCTCGGAAAGCAACGACTGTCCCAAATTCGACCTTATACTCCTGAGCATTGGCTCTGACGGCCATGTAGCCTCCCTCTTCCCTGGGCATCCAGCCCTTGAGCTGAGAGAAGACTGGGTCACTTACATCACCAACTCTCCCGTGTCTCCACCCGAAAGGATCACCTTCACCCTTCCTGTCATCAACTCCGCTTCCAATGTCGCCATTGTCGCAGTAGGGGAAGATAAGGCCAGCGCAGTGCAGCTTTCCATTAACCAAGGCAACACTGACGTGCTCAGCGGTTGCTCAGTGCCGGCGAGGATGGTTCAGCCGACTGAAGGCAAGTTGGTTTGGTTCCTAGACAAGCCAGCTGCATCATCAGTCCTCAGTGACCAATAACGATGGCTAGCTCTTTGCCCTCAGCCGGCAGTGGTACAGTTAGTGGAGTCGTGTGTGATCTGTGAATGGGTGTATGTAGGTGGAGCTCGCTCTCTCTCCCCCTCACTCTCTTTTGTTTCTCTTTTTTGTGGGATTGTGGGGGGTTTTTAATGTACTCGTCTCATGATGAGAGTGTTAGCACAGGGAAATAAATAAAGCAGTTTCGGCTCAGTAGTTAACGAGGGTCTTTTGCGGTTGGGAAATAGTTGAGAACAAAAGGAGCGTATGTCATATGGTGTAAAACTCAATGAGATGCTATTCTGGAAATTAACTGTAGGTTCTGAATTAAGCGCTCAGTTTTGAATTAAGTGCTCTTCCCATCTCTTTTGTTCTGCGCGTTACTTGGTGTTCTTCTTGTATTGCTTAAAGGTAAAGGTTTATCGTAAAACTTTTACCGATATTACATATATATTTGAGTCACGGCTTCGTACTTGTATGTGAATTGTTGAAACTGGTTGCATATCAAGACAGTTTTACAAACTCGTTGCATATCAAGACAGTTTTACCTTCTGTTGAGGCTGTGTATGATTGTTGGTGCACTTTCATGTGCTATGATATAATTAGCTTCAGTGCATGAAATTTTTTACTCTGCATATAACCGAAAATAAAGGAAAACATATGCCAAATGATAGTGAGATGTCAGGCTTTTCTACGCAAAATCTTCATGTGAGGAAATCTATCATATGTGAACTTCTCCTTAACTACACCGTTGCTGATGCTTTCTTACAAACAGTAAACGCCATTTCTTCATAACTTTTAGCGCTATTATTGTTGGGTACCAACTCAAACTTCAAGTCGGATGCGGGTTTGAAGGTTACGCCCAATCCTAGTAGTTTTCTGAGAGGTCAAGTTAACTTGACGGGCAAGTCAGGGGTGTCTTTAAATAATGCGTCATATTCTAGGGTTTCAGAGTAGAGAGAAGGAGAGAGACAATATTCTTGTCATATTCTAGGGCAAGTCAGGGGTGTCTTAACTACACCGTGGCTGATGCTTTCTTACAAACAATAAATACCATTTCTTCATAATTTTTAGCGCTATTAAGCGTTGCTAAAATTGTTAAGATAAGAGCCCTTAAGCTATTTTTTTCGAATGATGCTAAAACTAAACTTCACTCGTTTCATGCTTCGGTTTCTTGAACAAGACAGCATCATAAAAGAACACCATAGAAAAGAGAGAAACATGTCGTTAAAGAGAGCAAAGCTTAAGCAAATGCTTGAGCCAAGTAAGAATGCAATATTCACCAACTAAACAGAAAGCAGTGAATAAGATACCATAGGAAATCTCATGCCTTGTTTCAAGTGTGTTAAAGTATGAGAGAGAGAGTCTTAGGTAAATTTCTATTCATATATATATATATATACAAGTAGAGGAGGGTGATGAGGTTTGTCCTCATAACTAATGTGGGACTAAACCCACTACTAACAGAATATTATCAACAGCCCCCCTCAAACTCATGTTGGATCAAATAAAGTGAGTTTGCGTACAAGAAATTGGAATCGATAAATGGGTAAGGTCTTTGTGAAGAAATTTGCAAGCTCGTTAGCGGATGAGACATGAGGAAGTAGAATTTTCTTTTCCTTAATAACTTGTTGACGGACAAAATGAGAGTCGATCTCAATATGTTTGGTCCTCTCATGAAATACGAGATTATTAGTAATCTGGATGACACTCTTATTATCACAATAGAGAGGAGTAGGAGTCGTAAAAGAAATACCAAAATTACTGAAAAGACGACGAAGATGAATAATCTCTTTAGTTATTATGGACATTACACGATACTCTGCCTCGGTGCTGGAAAGAGCAATAACATCTTGTTTCTTACTTCGTCAGGAAATAAAAAAATTACCAAGAAATATACAATAACCTGTGGTAGACTTCTTGGTAGCGGGATCACCAGCCCTATCAGCATCAGAATATGCACAAAGCTTTAACATGGATGTAGCAGAAAACAGAAGAGAGCAGGTGCTAGTACCCCGGAGATACCGAAGAATCCGTAATAAGGCAGCATATTGTGCAGAACGTGGGACACTAACAAATTGACTGACAATACCAATAGTATGAGAGATATCTAGTCGAGAGATGCATAGATAGACCAACTGGTCAATAAGATGTCGGTATCGGGTAGGATCAGATAGAGGCTCACCATCAGTAGAGCAAATTTTGACATTTTGTTGAAGTGGAGTATTGACAGTTGCATCGTCAGTTAGCTCAGCACGATTTAGAATATCTGAGAAATACTTCTGTGAGACAGTAGTACACCCCGCGGGCCCTAAGAAATTTCTAGACCAGGAACATAGCGAAGAGATCTAAGATCCTTCATGTGGAATGGTTGTTGTAATTGAGATTTTACAAACTATATACCAACAACGTCATCACTTGTAATGATTATATCTGTAGGCGTCAAAAATTACCTATAAGTTCCCGGATACAACTCAAGACGAAGAGGATACGATTAACGTAATCATCTGAGTCAAAGAAGATCATCTGATGCCAAAAGGAAGCAAAGGAAAGCGCGAAAAGACGAAACGAAGAAGCGACGGAACGCTCAAATCGACGAAACACGGAACGAGACACGCATTAGTGTGTCTCACCTGCGAGACACAATAATGTGTCTCACCGGCGAGACAAAACATGTGTCTCGCACTCATGTGTGAGACACAAAGTGTGTTTCGCCCAGTCAGACTCCCAAAACATGTTTTTTTGATAATTTCTCGGGATTCGTGCGTTCTAGTGGCTTCCTAAATGCTTTGGGAGTATCCTTAAATACGGGAAAGTGGTTATTAACTGAAGATACTTTCAAATCATGAGATCTTATCCACAAACATGACATTTGAAGCCTATCAATACCCCCCTTCATGCATTTATGAAGATGAGGGACGTGTGACTGATGAGATCTGAATTCTTAGGCGAGATGTTGATGTTTTGAGCAGAGAGACACGAAATTAAGAGAGAAAAAAAGGCAAGATCTTGGTGAACTTCAGCATAAAGAGGAAGATTTCGAGAGATCTGCAGGCCTTCACCCCTTCCCTTGAGATCAAACCTTGTTTTGATCTCGAGAAGAGTATTAATCTCACATTGCTGAGGTTATTTACTTCTGTTCTTATTTCTAAAACCAAATAAGAACACTGACCCTTCTTCACGATCAATTTGGATCTATGAATCGATGGTCCATGGGCTAACGCGCCCCCGACATAGGCAAATATCCCATACAAGCAGCGACCGATAAACGATCTCTGCGTGTGTTTCTAGGAGATTTCCTCTATTTGTTTCTCTTGTAAAGAGAAGTCTTTTAAAAAGGCTCACTTTTTTATTTCTATTTGTAATCGATAAACAATTGTAATGGAAGTTGTAAAGAAATTGATTTCCGATGCAAACACGCTGGCGACCAGTGGGAGCCTACAACCTCGCTGCCGAGGCTGTAGTGTTGCAACCGATCAAGATCCTGGTTGATTCAGCGATTGAGTATGAGTTCGAGCAACAGAAGTTCGAGGAGTACCTTTCATCCTCCTCCTTCGGATCTCCCTCGCCCAACAAGTGCAAGAAGGTCTCATCTTCAAAGAAGGTTCACTGATCTTCAGATCCGATGAAGGTCCAGGGTGATGAGTCTTGCCTAATCGTTGCTGAGTTCCCCTTGCAACGCCCCTCCGATGATCAACCAAGTCAGAGTCTCTATTCACAACAACTCCTTCTCAGTTAAGGAGTCGTTTGATGAAACCGTGCCAACTCTAACGAAGAGGGCTCGTTAGAGATAGCGCCAACATTTCGCTCATCAGCTCACCATAGCCCTAGAACAAGTTGATGGAGTTTGCTACTACGTGGACTTGGAGTCAAGGAAGCACCAAGCAATTCAACCGTTTCAATGTCAAGTCACTGACACATCCTCCAAGACTTCGACTGAAGAGTGGGTTCTCGTCAATAGGACTCGTTCGACGAGGGATGAGCGCATCAAAAAAACATCGTGCATGTGCCGCACACACTCGCATTCTTATGAAGAAGGAAGAGGTGACCAAAGAGCCACCAAAATCCCACAAGGTTTGGATGCCAAAGTCCAGAACTGCGCAAAAACCGAGTTTGCAAACACCTGAAAGTGTTTCTTGTAGCCGAGACACCACTAGCTGTCTCGCAACACGAGACAACCAATAGTGTAACCGAGACACCCTAGTTTGTCTCACCAAAATTCGAGACACTTCCCCCTGTGTCACCCAAACTAGAGCTCTCACGGTCATTTCTTCGCCTCCGTTGCCTGTCGTACTTCCCGTGAAGCCTCACGGTAGTGTTGATTTGTCCAGATTCAAGATAATGATGGTAGATCGCCTTGGTCCTTTGCATGAATATCGAGGCAAAGCTCTTGTTAAAGAACGCTTGGGTCCGGTGGATAAATCCCAAGTGACTCCTCAGGATGGGGGTCGTACACACCCTCCCGCTAAGCCAAAGTCAGTTCATGTCTCCACCCACTTAGGGGTGTGTGTTCAAACCCAGGAGCCCGTTGAGATTCCACATTCGCAAGAGGGTGATTCCAAACGTGTGACTCCTGAGAATGCCAATAAGGCTTTACGTCCCCAGAAGAAGACGTGTCCGTCAAAAGATGACGTTACACCTGGGGAGTCAAACCAACAGCTGACAGGTTGCTCCGGTCATCATGCCGATGAGTTGTACTATCGGATTGGGGGTACGAACAAATCTCGGAAGAGAAATATCTGAGAAACAAACTCTCATTGTCCTTGTGAGAGGTTTATCAGAATAATATTATCAGAGTGTAGCTACTCTAAGACTGCTCCATAGAGGGTCTCAGTATTCTAATGCCTTTCCACCGAAGCGTCAAAACCCAAGTCAAGAAGCTTCCGCAAGAAAAGATTAGCCGAATTTCCAGAAGTCACCATCAATATTGCTGATAAAGGAAAGTCAAAACGACGCTCGATCAACTCCAGTTCCGACTCTGATCTGGGGATATCCTAGTATATAACTCGGCTCCAAATAAGAACGATCAGACGTAGGGATTATCAGAGGATGCATAAAGGAATATCCTCATATGATGAAGTATCGGATGCTTGCTCCGCAGTCACTTTAGATGAAACAATGTCTAGCATGAGACTAACCCGCAAGTCATTCACTATCACTCCTGATCAACTAGCTAAAATGCTTCAAGAAGCTCTAGCTAAGCAGCGAGAAAAAATTCGAGCTGAAATGGAGATGGAGATAGAATTAGCCATGTAGCAGATGAGGGGGTTGTAGACTCAGTCTCATCAACAACCTGAGCCAAGTCAGGGAGCTGAATCTAGTCATCATGCTCAAAACGACGCAGATGATAGCAACACAGATGTG